GCATTTAGCAGATGTTCGAGAACAAACGAAAAAAGGGACCCACTAAAGAAATACCCCAAGAAGACATCCGTAAAGATGGGCTTGATCATTTTCCCTATTGGGATGAAAGCACTAGGTCAAGATACAAATTTCCAGGCTGTACACACTGTACAGGGAAAACATATACAGTGGCACAAAATGCACAATACCGTTGTGTATTAATAAAGAAACTGTTATTTGTTATTTATACTGTAGCTTCAAAATAGTTTGACTTTATTACATTGTTGCAGGATGTTCCATATTTGGCACCAAAATTTTTTTTGTCAATAAAGTTTTCCTCGTAGGTAGATTTTTTTTCAATATTTTTTCGTAAAAATGAAATTAAAATTCTTATCTGAGAATTTATTTTTGACAAAAAACAAAAATTCATGCGGTAAGGGGTTAATAACTAATTGAGTCCAAAAAATCTACTGCAAAACAACTGTCGTTTGCTTGGCCGGTTCAGTGTCACGAAAAAAAATCTTATTTCCCTTCTCTATACGAAGTGGCTGCTGATCATTTTAATTAATTTGAATTATGGGAGCTTGCAACTCATGTTCACGATTGCGATTAAGCAGTTCTTCAAAATGATTCGCCCATCTATTTGGTTAGTACTTTTGATTAATTTGTAGCAAAATTTCTCTAATTCCTGTTTAGGATTTTTGTGTGCCACATACTTTTTTCGTTGTTTGGTTAAAGATCTTTTTGCAAAGATAGTCGTGCATTATATTTTATTATAAAAAAATACGATACACTTTTTTATGAGAACTAATATTTGCGTGTAAATATAATACGCGTCCTTTATCAAATCAAACTGTTTGAACAAGTCACTAAAAGTAGGGAAGAATTTAAAAAAAGAGGTGACGTGATTTTCGTATTCGTGTTTTTAAGTCGTAAAAATATACTACCTCTAACCTTCAGAATCAGAGCAGGGATAAATTTTATTACATATATCTTTGATGCAGACATTAAAAATGTATTACGTAATCAATAAGCCTCCATATAAAAGTTTTTTTTAATTTATAACATTTACATATTATATACATTAATTTATTTGTGGTATCCATATTTATAACGATGTTTTATAACGTTAAGGGCTTTCACATATACAGGGTGAATCAATCAAAGAATGTACCAATTGTAAATGGTTGTTTTGAAGTAATCACTAATATTTTACTTAACTATAATTGGTCAAGTTCGGTCATTTCTGAGCTAGAGGGTATTATATTTAAATTAAAATTAAAAAATATTGATTCTGATCTGTGGGTGCTGAATTTTTACTGAGTTTGGCGATTGTTGTGGCAATTTGTACTTTATTGGCAGCGACACGGAAAAGTTTTGTAGTAAAATCTTATTCTCATGTTATTTAACGACGAGACTATTCTTCTTCCACAGACTGACATTTGTAGTACCCATATCACTAGTAATTGCTACTACGGTGAAATTTGAATAAAACAATGCTGCAATAATTGACTCTAGAATTTCTTCTTCAAAACTTGTTGCTCCTTATCGATATCAATTCTATTTGACAAATAAATTTCATCAAACTAAAATATAACTTTTCTTTCAACTTCAAAATTCAATACGCTGTTCAAAAGCCCTGGACTTGTGTCAAATTCTGATAACCAACATCGAAGGGTAGACATGGCTGGTAAAGGAAAATTATTTGCTTTAGAAACCTATATTCCTTGGGACTAACACTACGTATAGGAATTGCCCAAGCAATATCTTCTGCTGACCAATGAATATTTGTGTTGTTTGGACTAAGCAATTTTCTGATTTGACCTGAAGTAAAAACCGTTTTCATTGCCAATTCATATTTCTGAAGCAATAAGTTAAAATTTTTAATTCTTGTAAGAGTAATGCATTCTGCCCCTCCAAGCTAATTCTTTGTTTGAACTCAACTTCACTATTTGATCTGAAACAAAAAATATTATTATCAATATATTTATCAATATCATTTCTATATGATAATTTTATTCAAATGCAGTTATAAATACATATTTTTTGTCTGCCGAAGTATTACATTGCTGCAATCGGAAATTTGACAAGTAGCTTCGCTATTTATAATTTGAGCATTTTTAGTACTCGTACAAGCATTCAAGAAATTAATCTCTAATTTCATTCTAATGGTTTGTTAAAATGTTCGATTCAAAGTATTTCAATGAAATATTAAAAATATAAAATACTGTATACACTTTATAAACCATACATATACGCCTAAAGCTATCAATATGACATTAAATACAAATAATTAACGAATTAACCTAAATAACACATCACAATATATGTAAACAGAATGTAAATAAAAGCGAGTTGCTTCGCAAGTGACGTCATGCGCCAAACTTGCCAGTTTTGATGGGCTAGCGAGCATACGGTGTAAGTGTATCGTGATGAAAGAAGCTCTTTTGATGTTTTGTACTTACCCAATTAAGAATTGGTGGAATCACACAACTAACGTCACTTTTATTAACATGCGATATGTCCTCAACAGCGGGAAACAAAAATGTTGTTTTACTTTTAGTACTATGACGCAAAAATGTGACTTTAAAGTTGTCTTTTGCTTTAATTATTTTTCTCTACATAAACAACTGATTTTTAATCACGAAATTCCACCAGCCCAAAAATTACTCTTAAACAAATCCTAATAACGACCAAACTGAAAATCTGTGAATGATTCAGCATCTGAGGTGTCAGACACAAATGAATCAGTGTCACTAGATGATGATAGTACAACAGCTGAAGTACTCTGCTAATTTTTTTTGGAGCTTTTAGAAAAAGCAAGTGCTTCTTTTTTCTTCTTATAATATTTTTCCTTGATTTCTAACTTCTCGGGCGTATCAGTTAAAAATTTGCTTTGGCCTTTTCTCCTCATCTGGAGATTTTTTCGGGGTTCTGCTTTGGAATAACCAAACAATTATTTTGGAACACTAGAGAGCATTTCAATATATCTCTCTGATGATACCTAATGAGGTTTAAATACATATAAGCGGCTGGCGGATGCCCTGCATTGAAATTAAATTTAAAGTCTTTCTGAATTCTCCTGGACTTCTAAAGAACTGACTTTTCTCGTCAGTTCATAAACCTGCCTTTATGATACTGGTGGTCAAAGACTTATCAAACGCATATCCAATATATTCCGCGATTTGAAAAATTGTTATTGGCTTCTCTAGATTTCTCGTCATCTATGCGTCCATAGCACTGTTATAGCATGTTTTAAATGGAGCATAAACAGCCACATCCTCTTCTTTCTTCTTATTCTTCTTTTTATATAGACATGACTGTCTGTTTTTCAATGTGCCTCAAGTAAGTTGTCGTTCCATCGTTTTCGTGGTTTTCCTACTGATCGTCTTCCTATTGGAGAACCGTCTCTTGCCGTTTTTACTACTTTATTTGTTGTCATTCAGGTTATATGATCGTTTCATTCTACTCTTCTCTTTCATAGTGTCTTGTCATTAATTTTTTTTCTCTGTGTCAGGTCTTGTTTCTGCTGCGTATATCATTATTGGCCTGATGACTGTTTTGTAAATTCTGCCTTTCGTTTCTTTCTGCGCCTCTGTTTGCTCTATTCACTTGATCTTCCACTTCAGTTTCGAGCTTTCCCTAGCTAGATAATGTGATGCCTAGATATTTAAACTTCATCACTTATTTTATTATCTGACCTTCCAGATCCAATTTACTTCTTAGTAAATGTGCTGTTGTAACCATGCATTTTGTCTTGTTGGAACATTTGTTGGAACAATGTGGCGGTAAAGTAAGCTTGGTAACTCCGTCGTCTTTTGCTAAATTTAGTGTCTCAATAGAGAAGTGGCTTTCATGATTATCTACGATCAGTAATGTTGGATTTGTTTTGGAACTATTCAATTGTTGTATAAAATGCCGCGTAACTGGTAAATGTAATTCAGAGTTTATCCATCCTGAGGGATTTGCAAGTCTCCTGCAGGTGGTAATGCAGTTCCCAAAATATTTGGGAAAATGTTAAGTATTGTAGCAAGTTATATTTTTGTAAAATTTACAAACCTGTTGAACATATAATTCAGCACGTTGTTCATATACCTCATTCGTCGCTTGTAATTTTATTGATTTGTTTTACTCTTCTTGGTGCAAGAATCTTTAATGACTTTTGTACAGTTGTTGTCGAGGTGGTCGATTGTGAATGTTAAAATTCATCCACATTACAACAATTAAATGATAAGTTGCAGCCCTGGATAAGTTGCAACATTGCAACCTTCTGGTTGGCGGATACTGAGCTTAGGATGTCTCTTTATGAACCATGAAGCCAGTCAAGTCTAGCAGATGTCATTTCTTCCCATTTCTGAGGAATATGAATTTTGTTATACAGACCAAGTTCTTAAGCCAGTTGCCTCACGTCGTTTATAGACTTTCCGTAATACATTTTGAACTACGTTATTTTTAAGCAATATTTCTTGTTCATCATTTAATAACCTTCGAGTAATGTGCTGGATTTTATACAATAATACATCGTTGGGAGCTTCTTTAGCTTTCTTTACGTATCGCCCTAATGTTTGATGTTTACTGCTATTTCTTTCGGCTGCTATTCTGAGGCTAAAGTTAGGTTTTAATACATCATCTACAGCACTTTTCATAGCCTCTGTCACCACTGTCATATGAAATTTTTATTTTGTCTAAAACTAAAATTTCTTTAACAGATAAAATCAATACCTTTACCGACTTGGTACATAAATACCTATTATTTTGACGTTGTGATTTCCACTTTGGTATTCTGAGTACGATTTCCGAATAAACTTATTTTAAAGTAAAATTGTGGCTTATTCCCAATAAAAATAGTAAATGATATATTCATTTTTCAATTTTGATTCCCTCGTATATTTTTTGATAAATTAATCATACATTGGGTTTACATGTTGTTGAAATTATATTTTTACACTCATATTTTTTCTTTCATCGGAAAATTGTTTCTATGTACATAGTGTATTGATTGGTTTTTTTATTTGTTGCAGCAAGGAATTGGCGTTGAATTAATAAGGATATTACCGGAAACACATCCGCCTGTTTTGTCCAATATCTTCGCTGAAGCCGACTCCAAAGACGACGTGGTAAGTGCATAAATGTTTATATTATTGTGTTGCCCCTTGGTTTTTATTATTGATTTTTAATAATCGTAATAAATTTACAATCTTTATAAGCAATATTACAATGAAATCGATGAAATAAACATGATATTTACTGAAACTCTAATGAAAGTGGGTAAAGAAATAGCACAGACAACAACAAAAAAAGAAAGTTTCATATCCTAGGAAACAGAGATTCTTATGAACATAAGAAGAATATTACTAGAACAAGGGGACAGAAATAAAATGGAATACAAAGAAATAAACAAAACTATTAGAAAAAATATCAAGAAGTGTATACGGAGAGTACAGGAAGAAAAGGTAGAGAAAACAATTGAAAAAAATAGAAACATGAAGTGCTTAAAACAGAACCTGGGAAACATACAAATTAATAGCATAAAGAACAAAGAAGGAGTGGAGACTAACAATATAAAAGAAATTTTACATATAATGCACAACTATTATACAAATCTCTATAAAACAAAACAAAAACCAACCCAAGAAATCCGTAATCAGTTACAGCTGAAAATAAAGAACGTTAACTGCGGCCTACAACCAGAAATTAGTAAAAATGAAATAAAAAGGCACTCAAAGAAATGAAGAATATCAAATCGCCTGGGAAAGATGGAATAACTGTGGAAATGTTAAAAAATGGGGGGAAAGCTACAGTGGATGTCCTTTATGTACTAATGAATAAAATATTGAACACAAAACAAATAACCACCACATGGAACAAGGAAATAACACTATTACTATTTAAGAAAGGCGATAGAAAAGATCTGAAAAACTATAGGCCCATAACGCTACTTAATGTAATGTATAAACTGTTAACTAAACTACTAACAAACAGATTAACAACTAAGTTAGATAATTACCAGTCAAGACAGCAAGCCGGTTTTAGAAAAGGATTCAGTACAAGCCACCACCTGCTTACGATAAAAAATTTATTAAAAAGGGCAACGAATATCAAATCCCAATGTACTTGGCATTTGTAGACTTTGAAAAACCATTCGATAAGGTGGATCATTGGGTAGTAAAGAACTGTTTACAAAATGGGAGAATATACTATAGATATACGGACTTAATTTCCAATATATATGATCAAGCAATAATATCCAATAGAATGGTTTCAAATACCAGAAGCTGCGAACATAATTCATGCGGCACAAAACAGAGAAACCTATCGTATGATGGTCGCCAACCTTCGGTAGAAGACGGAACATAAAGAAGAAGAAGAATAATATCCAATAAAATAGTTGAACAAACGGAGCCTATTAAGATACGGCGAGGAGTCAGACAGGGTGACACTATATTACCCAAACTATTCAAGCAAGCTTTGGAAGACGTTATGAGGAAATTACAATGGGAAAAACGAGGTATTAACATAATTGGCCAAACACTAATTTTATTAAATTAAAATTGTTGATTGGTCATGGATCATTTTATTTCACTTTAACATCTAATAAATCGGTAAAAGTGCTCCAAAGCAACCTAGAGTGATTCACTGGGTCGGAAAGGTTATTTATTATTTATGTAGCATATGGCTATATCACAGGTTCATATATATACATATATATATATATATATATATATATATATATATATATATATATATATATATATATAAATTATATCAATTACAAACAATAGTAAATACAAAAATATTATTCTACAAACAAACATCTAGATTATAAATATATTCGATTGACTCTTTTGTAGCAGCCAGGAAATCCGAAGGGTTGCCGTTATAGGATCTAATCGGGCATTCCTCTACCATGTGATTTACTGTTTGCCTTTCGGCGCCGCAGTCGCATTTTGGTGATTGTATTTTTCCCCATCTAAAAAGTGAGTCGGAACATCTGCCACAGTTCGTCCTTATTCTATTGAGTGTGGTCCAAATTCGTCTTGGTTGGTTGAAGCCCTCAGGTTTGCTTGTAATACATGGCATGTTCCAGTTAGCTGGTGCAGCGTTATTCTCCCATTGTTCTCTCCACCGTTCAGTTACATTAAAGTTTTGATCTACTAGCCTTTGCTGTTTTTAGAGGCGGGTGTCTTGAACGGAGCCTATTTATGTCTCTGGCGGAAGTTCCGACATGGGAGCGGAGCTCAGGATCAGCATTGATTTTTGTAAATTCTCTGACAAGGGCATGTTCCCGGCGGATGGGTGGTATGACTCAAAGCTGGTAACCAGTAAATGGCCTTGATTGTGCCCGGTATAGTTCGCATGGCTTGGTTGAGTTGGACATCAATACGGTGAGTATGTGGACTGTTTATCCATACTGGTGCACAGTATTTCGCTACGGGGTATACCAGTCCTAATGCTGCCGATCTAAGTGTGTGTGCTGAGGAGCCCCATGTAGTGCCGCAGAGCTTTTGCAGGATGTTGTTACGAGTTCAGAGTTTTGCAGCAGTGTTAGTAAGATGCTCTTTAAAGTTTAGCGTTCTGTCAAGTGTAACACCTAAGTATTTTGGGTGTTTATTATAGTTAAGGAGTCTATCCTCAAAATGGATTTGAGGTTGATAGTTGGCCATCTTGTTGTACAAATGGAAGCAGGATACTTCTGTCTTAGTTGGATTGGGTTGCAATCTCCATTTGCGGAAATAATTTCCTAGGGCATTTAAATCGTTTGTTAGAATGTGTTCAGTGACCTCGAATTCTTTATGACTTGCGGCAAGCGTCCAGTCGTCTGCGTATCCAAACTTTTTTGATGTGGTTTCTGGCATGTCTGCTATGTAGAGGCTGAAAAGCATGGGAGCCAGCACGGATCCTTGTGGAAGTCCATTATTCAGTTTTCTTTGAGTACTGTCTTGGGAAAGGTTATGTCCACAATTGGAACAGAAAAAAAATGGCCTCATATGTAGTAAAAAAGTGTTGTTTCTCCAAGAACATTCACCGGCACACAAGACGTTATGGCAATGCTAAAAATTCACAAATTAGTCTTCGAATTACTTACTTATCCGACTTATTCTCCTGATTTAGCCCCATACGATTATTACTCGTATCTCAAGAGATGACTCTCTTAGACAAACTATTTACTAAAATGAGAATATATTGATATATCAAAAAAATTCTAAAAAAAAAAGTAAAGTTCGTGTAACCTTCTGGCTAAGGTCTAGTGTTAGGGTTTTTCAGGTCGCGCAAGCGCCCCTAACATGACTTAACGATTATTTTCTTAGCCGGGCCGACGGCTTTACGTGCCCTCCGAAGCACGGTGGCAGCTCAGTTAAATTAGAAATTGAAAATTTTGTCGGTGTCGGGATTCGAACCCGGGCTTTCCAGCTTGTTAAGCCAGTAATATAGCCAATGAGCTACGGCTGCCACAGCTTTCTAAGAGTAGCCTGTATAGCATTACCTACATTGTTATTCCAGGCCCTTCGCTCATGTTGGATGTTGGATCAAGATATTTGGGTGTAGTTCTTTCAAGCTGTATATATAATCTGTTTCAATATAATATCTCCAAAATTAAAATGAATTTATGAGCGCCATCCTTTATTTACCTCGTAAGGAAACGAACTCAGGCAGAGAAATAAATAATAAAATTAAAACAAAGCTTTCAACAAAGCTAACTTTTATTATTTTGTAAAGAACAAAAAGTTACTAATATATTCTAGGAAAATTTCGCCATATTGCAAAAGAATAAACATTCTGTACCTTTGTATTGAATTGAGAATGATAAGTACTTATATGAAACTACAATTATAGTTTACCAAATTTCGAAATTCGTTCACATAAAAAAATCTGATATTTATGTAATTAAGAGAATAAAAATAAAATCACATCACTGTAATTTAGTTCATAGATAATCTTTACTATTCAATAATAAAAATATATAAAGTTGATACAACCTGGATTATTCAAAGCTTTGGTAGCTTGTAAAAAAGGATATAAATTCATCACTAGGTACTCATGCGTGGATTTTAAAGTGTCGAATCCATCAGCGGTAGAACCATACATCCACTATAACAATCCATAGTATGGAGCGGCTAAACAAACGGGATATTCCACAAAAGACACTTATATAACATGATGAACCACAACAACAAATAACAGTAAGCCCGTGAATGCTGGGAGTGTCATGTCATACAGTCTGGCTTCAAAACAAATCGTACTCTATTCCGTATTTAAATTCACTTCTGGCTAACTAACGTGGACTGGCCTCTAGCTAGGAGGAGGTCTAAAATAAATATTTATTTGAAATATAAAAGAAAAAAGATTTTTTGGCTTATCTCGTTACGAGACCACTCAAAATAAGCGTCCTTTATGTTGGACGTCAAAAAAAAAAGGATTAAATGGCGATAATTAGGAGGTCACCAGCGCTTGGATTTTGTGAAGCCAAAATCGAAATTACTATGATCTGCAGTTGGATTCTTGAGATGTAAATATTTATTAGGAATTTTACTTTGAATGAATTATAAAGAGTTAACTTTTGAAACGGTTACATATGTATACAATGCCTATTCTGCAGAGCTTTAACAGAACTTTAAGAATCGTATTATTCGGACGACAAAAAGAAGTTGTAAAATGGTGGATGTCCATACCTATAAAGGTGACTTCAAGGAGCTTCCTGAGGTTCCTACCTCTGTAACCCCCACTACATTTAGAGATGCCTCTCTGGTCCCTACAATCTCTATGTCTTCCCTCAATTTAGACAGAATTGCCAGTAGTCTCTTGTCCCCGTCCAGTTCTATCTCCCCTTTTTCCACAGGGACCATAAAAATGATCTAACGGCTTCCTCGGTTTTCTTCCTCCTGACCCTCTTGTAATTGTGGTCATAGTATTAAGTTGGAAGTATTCCTGATCTATATGTACTTAAGTGCATATTCCCAGTTCCGGTTTTTTCATTATTATGTAGTGGAAAGTTACCCCCTCTATCTCTCTTTCCCTAATTTTTTCGAAGGAGAACACTTTAAAGTTCATCTGTGTGAACACGCTTGCCGTCTCCTTCATCGTGACCTCTTCACCGGTTTTTTTCACTAGCTTTTTT